ACATTTCCCCGGTGTTTGCGGCGTCAGCGTCCGCTCAACGTTTGGTGCCCCGGGGAGTGGGCCGGCCTGGAAAGACGCTTCCAGAACCGTGTGGGACTGTGCGGCCAGGCGTGGCTGCCGCGTCTGAGAGTAGGCTTGGTGCTGGCAGGGCTGCAGGTAGCGGCCTCCGTGTCTGAGCCACTGAGCCGGCGCCGCGCCGCGTTGCTCACAGGCTCTGCATCGCAACTCCAGTTATCTCGGGGTTTTGGCGCTTCTTTTGGGGTTGGCAGGAGAATTCGGCCTCTGTGGGCTCAGGCTTCCGGGGCACAAGCGCGTCAGATCCGCAGGGCAGTGCGGGTCGTTCCTGACTGCACCCAGAGGACGCTGAAAGCGGGGGCTTCCCAAATCCTGCGCAGGGCGACGCGGTGGGAGCCTCGGGACTGCGAGCGGGCAGTGGCGCGGGCGTGGAGGTGTGTGCGTGCGTACGGCGGCCGCTGTTTCCCCGAGGGCGTCTGTGACCCTCTGCCGCACCTGGGGGCGGGGGGGCGGTGCCCGTGCTCCAGGGCCCCGCGGCCTACTTCCCAGACGCGCACCTGCGGTGCGTTCAGTCGGCGAGAAGGTCCTGCGTGTGAGTCCGCGCGGTTGCGCGTTGGTAGGGGCCGGAGCTGAGGGTAGTTTCAAATTTGGTGAGTCTGGACTCCGAGAAAATCCTGGCCTCTCGAGAATCTTCTCCACTATCTCAGTTCTGCTCCTCTCCAAGAGGTGCATGTCTGAGAACCACTTAGGAGGTACCTTGGTGTTTTTCATTTTCTTTTTGTGATAATTCATTTTTTCCTCAGCCTTGATTTCCTTGCCTCCTGATTTGATTTTTCCCCCCTTTGATGCCGGACCTAGGCCCTTCAAGTGACCCGGTTTCTTGTATTTACCATTTGAGAAAATGTTGGGGTGGGGTGTTTATGTTAAAGAGCCCAGTGTGTCTTGCCTTCCCCCTAACCAACTGTTAGTAATTTGACAAATGTTTCAGTTTTCTCTTGTGTTGTTTTTTATTTTATTTAATGTATTTTTTCTGCTTATAAAATTACAGATCAGTTAGGAGAATTTGGAAAATATACAAAGTAACTAAAAAAAAATCAAGTTTAAGAAATATAAAGAGAACACTCAGGTAACCACCCAGGTCACAACATAGAACATTGCGAGCACTTCAGTAACATCCTAATCAAAATCAAAATCACCCTTCCTGTCCACCCCTTTTATGATCAGTTTTTTCATTATAGTTTACCTCCCTAATTATGCATCAATAAAGGATAAGTGTACTTTTTAACTTTATGTGACTTTCTGTCCTGCATTATTTTTTAACACTATAATGTGAAATTTGTACTGTGTATTTTTTCATAATGTTCAATAGTGTATCCTTATATAAATGTTAACTTATATGTTCATTATGTCATTGGTGGTTAGTTTGATACTTTTCAATTTTGGGCTATTACAATGCTGCTGGAGCATTTATGTGCATAACTACTGGTATGCAGGTAAGTACATTTCTCTAGGATACAGGCATACTGGGAAGATACTGCAGGTTTGGTTCCAGGCCACCACTATAAAGCACATATCACAATAAAGTGAATCAGATTAATTTTTTGGTTTCCCAGTACGTACAGAAGTTATGTTTACACTATACTGTAGCCTAGTAAGTGTGCAGTAGTATTATGGGTGAAAAAAAAAAAAAAACAGTATATATGCCTTAATTTGAAAATACTTGGTTGAGGGGTGCCTGGGTGGCTCAGTCGTTAAGCGTCTGCCTTCGGCTCAGGTCATGATCCCAGGGTCCTGGGATCGAGCCCCACGTCAGGCTGCCTGCTCCATGGGAAGCCTGCTTCTCCTTCTCCCACTCCCCCTGCTTGTGCTCCCTCTCTGGCTGTGTCTCTCTCTGTCAGAAAATAATAATAATAATAATCTTAAAAAAAATAATAATATAGCAAATACTTTAATACATCAGTCTTAAAAAAAGCAAATGTATTTCACCTCATTAATAGAAAAAAGAAAACCAAATGATCTAGAAAAATCATGACAAAATGCAACATTATGATAAAAATTGAGCAAACCTGGGGCGCCTGGGTCTGTGTAGCTCATTGAACGTCTGCCTTCGGCTCAGGTCATGGTCCCAGGGTCCTGGGATCGAGCCCCACATCGGGGTCCCTGCTCAGAGGGAAGCCTGCTTCTCCCTCTCCCACTCCCCCTGCTTGTGTTCCTGCTCTATCTCTCTCTCTCTCTCTGTCAAATAAATGAATAACATCTTTCAAAATAATAACAATATAAGAATAAATCAAATAGCTACTAATAAACCAAACAAAAGATGTTTTTAAGACCTCTAAAAATGACAGGATATTATTGAAAGATTATATAGTGATATAGATACACCATGTTCATGGATTAGAAGATTTATGAATAGATGTAAATTTTCTCAAAAAGCTTTACAGATTCGATGCAATCTCAGTTTTGAAAAAAGCAGTTTAATGAAATTAGAAAATCGATTCTAATACTCTTGTAGAAGTGCAAAGATCTGTGAGTAGACAAGACAATCTCAAAGGAATCCTTTACAAACATTTTACAAAGGAATTCTTTGTAAAGGATTCACATTATCAGGGGCGCCTGGGTGGCTCAGTTGGTCAAGAGTTTGCCTTCGGCTCAGGTCATGATCCTGGGAGTCCTAGGATCCAGCCCCACACTCGGCTCCCTGCTCAGTGGGGAGCCTGCTTCTCCCTTTCCCTCTCCCTCTATGGCTGGCCCTGCTTGTGCACACATGTGCCCTCTCTTTCTCAAATAAATAAATAAAATATTTAAAAAAAGGATTCACATTATCAGATATTGGCACCTGTTGTAGAGTTACTATAATTTAGAGACTGTGATACTGGCCTTAGGATAAAACGACCAAGAGACAAAATAAAGAGTACAGGAAAACAACGACACATTCACAGTTGCCTGATACATGACAAAAGTAAAACTTACATACAGTGGGAAATGGATGGCTTTTCAATGACTGGTGCTTTGTCAACTGGATATTCCCATGGGGGAAAAAATCACTTTAAATATCAATTCCAGGTGGTTGCAGATATAAATGTGAAAAGCAAAATATTAATGCTCTTACAAGAAAATATATTTGTGGCCTTGAAAAGGGCAAAGATTTTTTATTTTTTTTAAGATTTTATTTATTTGGCAGAGAGAGCGAGAGAGGGAACACAAGCAGGGGGAGTGGGAGAGGGAGAAGCAGGCTTCCAGCGGAGCAGGGAGGCCGATGCGGGGCTCGATCCCAGGACCCTGGGATCATGACCTGAGCCGAAGGCAGACGCTTAAGGCCTGAGCCACCCAGGCGCCCCTAAATAAATAAAATCTTTAAAATAAACTGGAGTAAGGTATTTACTACAGTACATCTGTCCAACAAGGAATTTGTCTTTATAATATTTTAAATCTATAATGAAAAGACAACCCAATAGAAAAATGGACAAAAACTTAAACTGTCACTTCACAAAAGAGAATACCCAAATGGCCAATAAACAAGAAAATGTACATAACCTTATTAGTTATCAGGGAAATGTACACCCACTGGAAGAGCTAAAATGAAAACATGAAAAGTACCAAATATTAGTGAGGATTTGAAGCAACTGAGAGTCTCATACACTGATGGTGGGAGTATAAATTAGGGCAACTAGTTTGAATCCATTAAGGTTGAACATTTTTACTCTTTAAGGACCAACAATGTGACTTCTGATATAAACCCAACAGAAATGCACATTTACATGCACTAAAAGACACCTGCTGAAAAGTTCATGGTAGCGGCATTTGTAACAGTCCCCAAATGGAAACTGCAAGTGCATGAGACGGTGGAATTTTGTTATAGTCACACAATAGGGTACTATAAAACAGTAAGAATGAATGAACTATAACGAATAAGAATATAAACATGATAAGCATAACCCTGAACAAAAGAATGAACAAAAGAAGACAGAAAAAAGCCCAGTAGGGAATGATTCCAAGTAGAAAAATTATTTATTTATTTTTAAAGATTTTATTTACTTGACAGAGAAAGCAGGAGCACAACAGTGGGAGTGGGAGAGGGAGAAGCAGGCTTCCCGCGGAGCAGGGAGCCCGATGCGGGGCTCGATCCCAGGACCCTGGGATCACGACCTGAGCCGAAGGCAGACGCTTAACGACTGAGCCACCCAGGCGCCCCCCAAGTAGAAAAGGTTTTAAATAAAGGTAATCTATGATGTTTGAAATCAGGATAATAGTTATTCTTGGCAGTAAAGTAATGGGGCTGGAGTGTAGGATAAGTGAAATGCTGGCAATGGCCTTTTTTCACCTTGTCTCAGTGCTGATTACCAAGGTGTATTAGGATTGCAAAAATTCATCAACTTGTGTAATCATATGTATAATTTCCTGAAGTGTGTATAGTATACGCAAACAAGACTAACAATACAATAAAAATACAAGAGCAAATCGGCAATATCAAAAGATCAGTACCAGGAGTTGGAAGAACCACTCTGAAGAACACTTAGGCCCTTTAACACAGGAGACACGCAGCTTCGACCTCCACCGGCCCTCAGGACCACACAGCGTAGGCACGGAACCGTTCGCCAAGGTGAGCAGTCACACCGGCAAGTCACACCCACCTGCCAGGGGCCGCAGGTGGGGCCCAGTCTCGGCCCCGCCCCTCCGCGCGGCCAGGCCCCGCCCCGCGACTCGGCCCCACCTTCCTCACGCTGGGACGCCGCGCGGCCACGACCTGTCCCAACGCTCAGTCCGTTTCCGTATCCACCGCCTCACACAGAAGCACAAACACACCAGCTCGTAGACCGACGCCTACTCACCGCCAGCCGCCACCATCCCCCACTTCAACCCCAACCGGCACGCCAGGTCTCGGCTGAGGGACCGACGCCCCCTCAGGGCAGAGAGCCCCCGCGCGGCCGGCGGCCAGCAGCAGCC